GTGAGTTTAGGTGGTGCACTAAATAACAAAATACTCCACCAAATTTCTTCTAATCTCAAGGAGAGGCAGGGAGAAAGAGAAGTCTGAAGTTACCGTACTCACCACGCAGCCTGCCAGAGGGTTCTTCATCCTGGACTGTGACTTCTTCCCACTGGAACATTTCCTCCTCTGGTCTAAAACTGGGAGTTCCACTAGGATGAAGTCAGCAAAGCAAAACAACAGGTAATTCAGGGTTTAGCTCTGCCACAACTGATTTTATCCTTTGCATTTCCTGCTACATAAGCAGACAAGTTTGAATGTTGCAAAGATACCTAAAAGTATGGCATTGACTAGTTTCATAGATGAATCTGATTCCAGGCACCAGAGTACAGACCATACACTGTGTAGAATATGTTAGAAGGATACATGGATAACTGTGTCTTGGTGCTAATGTGATGTAGAAGTTAGGGAAAGCCCAGACTGGTAAAATCTGGGCTTTCTTGTGGCATCTGCTAAATGACCTTGGGTCAGTTACATGTAGCAGCTTAAACTACCTCACAGGATTGTTCTAAAGACAAAGATGGATGGATGGATGGATGGATGGATGGATGGAGCTTGGCCATGTAAGACACATGGAGTTTCTTACAAGGAAGTTGAAATGTAAGTGTAATAAATATTTTACTCTCCTTAATCCCTATGGCAAAATCCGTATTGTTGACATAGATATGGGAATCACATGGCTCACACTGAAAAGCTTGTTGTCTTCCTAAACAAATGATTCAACAAACCTTTCTGTGAAATAGGTGTATGATCCTACAAGTTCCAGCAAGCCTAAGCTTTTTAAGCAGGGTTGGAAACAATGTGCTCTCCCCGTCTTCCTCTTGGTTGTTTATGAATTCAAATTCTCTTTAATTCCTGCAGCCTTGGCCAATGCAGATGTAGGATGGGAGCAGCCCTTGCTGGCTAGGAGATTGTGGGAGTTATAGTTGAAGCTCTGGAAAATGCCTTGCATCTTTTGTTTCCCTACAATCTAACTTTTATGTAACTCTGGCACATGTTTTACAAAGTTTTATCATGCTTGGGACAGTCAAAGGGTGCAGGAAAGGGGGAAGCCCACATTACAGGTGCAGTGATTCAGTCAAGATGCAATGGCTCTGGATTTGCAAAATCTGAGCAGGGCAGTTGATGATGATGCTGTTCGAGGTCTCTCCAGGCATTGGGATGGTGTCCAATTTATAAACAATTACTAATCAGTAGTGTTACTCTTCCCACGTTACGTTTAATGAAGATTTTCCTGTAATATAGAAATTGTGATTTGCAATCTGCAGTTTTTTGTATATGGTGTCCAATTTGCCAGTGATTTTCCAAAACATTTTAAAAGTTTATTTCGATGTTTGACTGTTAATAGTTCCTTATTTCTTCGTAGCCCAGCTTGTCTCTTCTTTGTTCCAGAACTGCTGTCAACAGCTGTGATGATACTATCCTTGAACCTCTTTGTAATGTTGTCATTACAAAGTCTCTGGATTGGTAGAATAGGAGGGTGTTTGGCACACATTCACCATACTATTTGGACTCATCCTATACAAATACAGTTTGTATGCACACATCATATATCCAGGCCATATTTGTAGGGCCTCCAATTGTGTGTGTAGTTTGTAGGCATTTAGAAATCTTAAATGACTGCCGACTAAACAAAGTGAGATTGGAAGACCCTGCTAGCATAAACATTCCCATTCACTGAAATCCCAAGGTAAGGTTACGCAACGTACACCAAGGATGGACAACACATGGCTATCCAGGAGTGTATAAGCCCTTGTGGAATCCTGGAATTTGTAGTTTGTTAGAAGCATTAGATGTGGCTTCTAGCTGTCTATCCCAGGATTCTTTAAGATGGAACCAAGACAGTTACAGGACTATGACTATTTAGCTAGTGCAAATGGGCTCCAGTTAACTAAGATGAAGATCATTCTAAGCAACTCAAGGTGTGTCCTGTTTTTCCCTTTTGTTGGGACTGCTCAAATGACACACGACATGGGCAAGGCACGCCTAGGATTGCTTAAGCAGTTTGCATCCAGGGTGCAACAGAATGGAAACAGGATTGAGAAGATGTTTGTGATAACACCTCTTATCCAACTAACTGTGCATGGGAGGAAGAAAGCATTGGCTCATTAAGTCAAGAATGATCGGAATGGTATCGTAGTCCCTTAGACAGATATTCCCTAAACTTGATGCATGTCTTCATCGGCAGTATAGTTTGAATTAAACATATATAATTTTCATGTAAAACCAGTTTAGAGAGCATTTTCCTCTTTTCACTGCTTTCTGTCTACAAAATGGACCTAGTGTCTCATGTAAGTTAAAGCTAGGCCAAGGTCTCAATATACTCGATGGTTTCAAAGGAAGAAAGAACACATTATTTTTTCATTAATTGCAATTAATGATCTTGAGATGCGTGGCCTGACTTTTGTCTGCATAGGCCCTTGTTCTATACCAGTACATTTTTCAAGTGATCAGATTTGGAGGAGCAGCAATTATTTTTCCCTCATATGTAGGGATCAAATCTGTGAGCAATTGACTATAATTGCTTCTTCCTTTCTGTCCCAAGTACTGGCAGTCATTGGCTCGGGGACTGGTGCTGGTCCAGGAGACTACCTCTCTGAGTAGTAATGCTTTATATTACTTTGAGCAATATGCAGACCTGTGACTCTTAATACTCATTTATTTTGCATAGTTTTTAAAGTTTTTGCCTTGTGAGAAAGCTAGTGAGATTTGAAAATTTGGGTTGGCATAATAAGAGCATCAAGAGGCAACATGATATAGCATTTCATGGGTATTTTACATAACAAAGCAGCTCCTTTTTGTAGTATTTTACGTCCTCCAGACCCTCTTTCTTGTCTTTGTTCTCTGCTGGCATATTTATAGTAAACAGTGCAATAAAACTTCTGCGGGAAAGCTGTGTATACCTGCTTATAATAGGCAAGGCAAACAGCAGCTTCCTTTGGAGTTGCACGAACAGGCTACATAGAGAGAAAATGGTAAAGCAGACAAGCCTGCATCACCAGCAACCCACAATATGTTAATAAATCATAGATCTGTAAGTACGGCAACTAAAATGGAAATAGTAAGTAAAGTGCTGGGTGAAGAAAGAAAATGTTATTCCTGGATACATTTTTGGAAGAAATCTTCAAGTGGCATCTAGAAGTTTCAAAATGTGTTTTTGATACTTTTGCAAGGGTAACATGTCCCCCGGTGGTGCAGTGGGTTAAAGCACTGAGCTGCTGAACTTGTTGACCGAAAAGTCGCAAGTTCGAATGTGGGGAGCAGGGTGAGCTCCCGCTGTCAGCCCCAGCTTCTGCCAACCTAGCAGTTAAAAAACATGCAAATGTGAGATCAATAGGTACCGCTCTGACGGGAAGGTAATGGCGCTCCATGCAGTCATGCCAGCCACATGACCCTGGAGATGTCTACAGACGCCAGCTCTTTGGCTTAGAAATTGAGATGAGCACCAACCCCCAGAATCGGACACGATTGGACTTAATGTCAGGAGAGAACCTTTACCTTTACCTTAACATGTCCATGTTGTTTGCTGAAACCTGTTGAACTGTATGTCTATGCTTTTCATATTTTTTCTGTCTCTAAAACAAAACTTTCTGTTAAAGAGGTACGGACCAGAGACACATGTACTTACTTTGTTAACTGAGGTATACCTATACCTTGGGTCTAGTTTCTAAAAAGGTCTGATAATGTGGAGATACTTCAGAAGCATTGTTCCTTCTTAATGGAAAATGGACTCAGAAGGGACTCCTTCAGCCCATCATAATTCATGTTACATGAACCTAAATATCTATTAAAATTCAGATTTAAGCCAAGATTTTATTTTTTTTAACCAAGTATTTTATTGCATATTTACAACACAACTGAAGACACGATCATAAGAAGAAACAGGCAGCACACATTACCTATGTAAACTGCACTTATATCAGAGAGATAATGGATCAGTATTACTTTAGAAAGAGGTATCTTGGGATGTTCCATAGAAATTAGACATCTGTTCTAGATGTTTTCAGTCTCTGCACCGATGCCTTGGACAAAGGAAGGGAAGGGGAAAAAACACCTCGCTATGTACATTAATTAAGAAGGGGAATTATGCAATCTCCAGGTGATGTTAGATTGCAAATCCCTTAGTTTCAGCCAGCAGTGGGGAGGAATATCGGGAGTTACAGTAGGCTATAGAAGTGAGGACAGGAAGGCTGCACATAGGGAACCAATTTATAGGCAGAGTTGTAACAGTAATTCAAAATGGACTAGATTAAAAAACAAATTAATAGCATTAATAAGGAGAAATTTCAAATTTACCCTGAAGATCTAAAAGAAAGAACTGAACACCAATGAAGTAATGGTCAAGTCACACTTGGAAAAGCCTTGCGTTTAATAGCAGTGATTATGCTAAAAACCCTGCTACCAGAGGACCAGTTGGTCACACAAAGCACTATAATACACATTTACATGGTAGTATGGATGACCTTCGGCAAGTTACTCTCAGAAAATCTCATGATAGATTCATTGTAGGGTCGCTTTAAGTTATTAAATGATTTGAAGACACACAGCAATAGAAATTCTTCCTATTGCCGTCTAGCATATTACAGAGTGATTACTAAGCAACTCAAATTTACTTTTAATGCATTGGTTGGCAATTAAAATGGTATTTGAGGTTTTGTTTGTTTGTTTGTTTTTGCTTAAACAAAGGCTGCAACCTTTGGGTTGATTTTAGGCCTACTATTATGTGAGCTAAGCAAAGGCTGTAGGTGTAAAGATAGGAAGGGCCAAAAGGGATCGACAACACCCTGTGAATTTCACAGTGGGTGATGTTGCTGCCTTACTTGTAGTGACCTGAAACTATGCTAGAGACTGTAAGACCCTGTTAGTATAACTGCACATGGATAGCACTAGAAAAAAGTATGACACAATCTTGAAATTCTTTCTGCTGCCATTCAAGTATAAAAAAGGCAAGTGAAACACACTTTTCCTAATACTTAGTGTTTATTATGAAAGTGTTTTCAAATCAAAATTCACAATATTGATTGGTTCCAAATATTTCAGGAAGAACTGTAATTTCTGTATTTCAGGAAAGAAAAGAAAGAGAAAACAAAACAATAGTAACAGAAGCAAAATCCAAGGCTAAACACATAGCGTTATTTCTGACAGTGGAATATATCAGTATAGTTAACATAGTTCCAAGAGTTGCTCAAACTGCTGGATTGTCTTGAAAAAACACAGGTGAAAAATTGCACCATTTTGTCCTGACCTGACCTGCTAAAGCTAACCACCATACAGAGCTGGGGATGATGGATGTGATTGAGAACTTTGTACAACTCTATCAAACCCCAACTTACCAATTTGGTGTATACCCTACTTCCTTTTGAGATGATCATTAATGCTTCAAGTTGATATATTTTATCACTAAAGCACAGGCTTAAAATAAAGGTTGAAATAAATAATACTATCAAAATACTGACACCCCTTTTCCTCCATTAAAATATTTGGAGGCCATTTCTAATTTATGCAAGTAGAGTCAAGCGCTCCAGTTTTCCTTGTCATTACAACCCTAACTTCTTGCAATTAAAATGGGCTAGGTCACTTTCTTAAAATCTCAATATAACTATTTTTAAAAAGGAGAAGCTAAAAGGGGCAGTTTCAGCTACATCCCGGTTCAATCGAAAGCAAGTCAAAGTGCAGTCAACAGCATGCCCAAGTAACACACCACTGATTTACTAAGAGCCTTTTTGAAGTTCTGGTCTGTGATGTCAAAGCAACTCAATGTTGAATGCTGCAGATTTGGTCACAGTATCATATATAACTACTGTTGTTTGTCATTGGACATGGATAGTCAAGTAATACAAGAGTCAATATATTACCAGGCACTCTTTAAATAAAAATAAATACATAATATTAACAATGTAGCGAGGGTGATGAAAGAAATCCACACATCTATGGGAATTCCAAAAAGTTAATGTTGCGTTATGTATTTTTTGAGATGAGAATTGTGAATATATTTAGCCCTATATTCCAAACCCACTGCCCAAGTGAACGGCAGAAGGGATGATCAACCTGAAACCATTAGACTGCTGAGCAACCAATGCTTTCCTGTGTTCAATGTAAGACATTCAGAACACGTTTGCATTGGGTTACACAACAATCTGCCCAAAGTTTATTGCAAAATACGGCAACACACAGGTACATCCACCCACAAATAAGAGAGTTTCCTGCTTATTACAACATGCTCAGCTCCACTGTGGAATGATTTGAAAGGAAAAAGACATCTCCTTGACATATGTCTGATGAAGGACCTTCACAATCATTCTGTGGCTATATATTGTCACATACTGGTGATATGTTAAGACGTGATTATCCCACTTGTCCTCTAAATCTGAGAGTTGCTAAGTGGGCTCCTCTACAATTAGTTAAGACTGGAAATCCCATCAGTTCTTGCCAGTATCACCCATGGGGAGGAATGTTGGGAGCTACAGTTCAGAAACAACTAGTAGGCTACACTTTGCTCACTTTAGCTCTTAAACTAAGCCTACTTCTCTGGGTTGAGAAGTTTATTAGTTCCTTGCAGATCCACTGCAACAGATGCCAGCTCTAAGAAGGAAACCATCTTCAATTCAGGACAGCACAGGGATGAGTTGCAAATGCTCTGTAAGGGAAGCTGTTTGTGCATGTACCTTAATATCATTAGCAACCAACTTTGTTGTTTCTCATGAGAAAATAAATTCTTAGTTCATAAAAAACACTGGCCTCTATGTGTGTCCCTGCCAGATATTGTTGTACTGCATCGCCTGTCAGGCTTTACCTTTGGATATGCTGGCTAGGAGTGATGGGAGCTGCAATCCAACATCTGACAAGTCACTTGTGCCTCATCTCTGATTTACACTCCCCAAGTGATGGGATAGAAGGGTAATTTTTGGAGTCCTGCTCCTTATATGCCATTGCATGTAGGACTTTCAATGTGAACCAAACATACAAGGAAGTCTTACCTAAGTGCATTGCAAAAATGAAACAAAACACCAAAAAGGTTATGGTGGACAGGCAGCCTGGGTAAGGCAACCTGTAGAGGTCTGATTCATGGATAGTGCAAACTAATCCTACTTACATATGCTTATGGGTCCTGGGTCACACTGATCACTGTAAATATCGTGACTGTAGTGGGGGAGCATACACGAACCCCAAGGCATGTGTGGGATTCTGTCTCTCCAAAATACAGCTTATGCAAACCAGCCCTATAATGCAAACATACAGAAACCAAAACCTGTGCTACAGACAAGAAATGAAAGCAATCTGTTGAACAACCTCAAAGTGGCAACAAGGACAAATTTATATTTGTCTCTTTTTGGCATTTTCAATCTGGCACTCCAGTTTGGATGGAGATTGCAAATAAATCCCACATTCCCATCCTCAAGTGGCTATATCTATTTACTTGTTTTATACAAACACACACTTTCTTCTTTTAGTGTGTCCCATGTCAATACCTAAAAGAGAATAAATGCACACAACTATGAACCTTACTTCACTATCTCAGGGCTGAGTAATAAAACATTCAGTCTAGCTACTACCTTCCACACACTGCATTTCTTATTTTCCCTATTCTACACAATCCAGCCACTGCACCTCTTACTCTAGTGCTAAAAAGGGACCAAAGAGCTTTTTACTAAGATCTTAATACACACACACAAAAGGCTGAAAATACTATTATAGGAAATGCAAATTGTATCTAGAAGATTCAGTTCCTTACATACATACAACTCTGGGAGACAAAGACTGATCTTATGCACTCACATGGCCACCTCTGTTTACTTCAGATCACTGGAAAGAGTGGACAGACCTTCCCTGAAGGAGGAATCCACCTACAGTATGGCTATGATATTACATGTGGAGAAGCACAAATCTCTTACATTAAGCTGTATCTACCACTCCATAGATTGGGTAACATCACAGTATGCTTTGTAACTGTTTTCTGTGTTATCCAAAGCAACACCTGGGAGCCTTCCTCCCCCTAAGTCTAGTTTCTAATCTCTGACTGCATCAGCATGAGCAGAACTAATAGATACACAGTCCCTTTACAATAATACTGGGAAAACCAAACCTGTTCAGAAAAATCCTCTCTACACAACACCTCAAAGTAATTTGAAAATCCCACCCTCCCTGATCAGTGCTTTTTGTCAACAGAAAATTGAATGTAAGCTGCTGGTGTGCCTCTTTTTTTTTTTTTAATCACGACTCACATAGAATACCTCAATTCATGACCATGCAGAGACCCCGATTCAATCAGGCTTCCTGATGCATAAGGGACTCCAGACTAGCTCCTGATTCAATCAGGCTTCCTGATGCATAAGGGGCTCCAGACTAGCTCCTGCTGCTTAATCATGACCGACTCTAGACTAGCTCCTGATGCTTAATCATGACCAAAATGTTACATGTACGTTACGACAACTGTGAATGTAAATAATTCCCAACCACCCACCACAACCGCACTTTGCTGATAGGAGAATTCGTAAATGAGATGTCACTGTGTTTTGGGAGGACATTGATACAATTTCCATCAGCTCAAGAACGGAGAACTTCATACTCAACTATAGCTGTATCTCCATATCCTCACTGCAGAGTGGCTGGTTAATGGGTCTCCACCTGTCCTCTACACACCTATAGCCATAGAAGCATGAACTAAATCCTGAATGATAGCATAATTATCTCTTAACTCAGTGTTTCCCAAACTCTAGTCTTCCAGGTATATTAGACATCGGCTCCCAGAATCCCTGATCATTGGCCAAAGCAGCTGAGACTTTTGGGAGCTGAAGTCCAAAACACCTAAATGATTAGAGTTTAACAATCATAAGTATTAGCATTGCTTTAGACTTCCATTCCCACCAAAGTATACTTAATAGTGTGGAAGAAGTGAAGGCCCAGATGACTTTTATTCCCCTTTATTCCATGAGTACCCTTCATTCTGTTTCTCCACAATGGCATTTTTACAAAGCTGATTTGCACAATTGCGCTGTTCTGTTTTAAACTTTACAAAATAAGTGATTTATCCAGTGAATTTCCATGTATTAAAGTAATAAGTGTTAAAGTATGAGATCTTGACTTAACGCATTCTGGCTTTCAAAAATTTTGAATATTTTTTAAGACACAGCAAATTGAAATCGGAAATTGTATGCACGTTACCAAAGCCCAAACTCAATATGGGAGGGGTATGTTAGCTTCAAAAACAGTCAGTAGAAGGGATGACTGAACATGGAACTCAAGTCTCTTCTGTATACACTGGCAAAATACTGTATTAGATTTAACAATTTTAAGGACACCTGAGTTACAGCAGATGTCTGTAGTAAAAAAGATTTGTGGTTGAAAATAATTTCTTCAGGTTGTGAGCAAGCTGTTCTTCTTCTCTGTGTGTATTACCATCTTTCCAGTGTATTATCTGGTGCATATATATATAGTTCCCAGTAATAACACAATACCGCTGGACAAAAATACCAGGGCTTGCAAAAACTATTTTCAGATTACAGCTCCCAAGATTCCCCAACCATCTTGGCTGTTGGCCAGGCTGGTTGAGGCCTGGAAGCTGTATTCTGAAAAGGAAAAAATTCAAATTATCTGATGAATTTCCAGATAGTTTTCTCTTCTTCTGACATTTGCTCTGGTAAGGACAGAAGTTCATTCTGTATTAAGAATACTGTTTCCTAAGTATCTTCTGGGAAAATCAGTCTCAAGAAAAATATATTTTTAAAATACTCTTCCTGCTGCATGTTCTTTGAGCTCATTTCCTTTAGAAAAGTAAACAAGTCTGTTCACACTGCAGAATTATAACAGTTCAACTCCACTTGGAACTGCCATCCCATCCTATGGAATCCTGGGATTTGTAGTTTTTTGTGGAACTGGAGCTCTCCAACAGAGAAGGGCAAATATCTCACTAAATTACAAATCCCAGAATTCCTTAGCACTGAGCAATAGCAATCAATGTAATTGCTATAATTCTTCAATATGGAAACAGCCTAGGTTATTGATAGTGCTAGTCTTATTAGTCATTAAAAGGCCTGGATGCTTGTTATTGATCCATCCTGTAGCACACATATCTAGTAGGTTTTCATGTTCCTAGCCTGGGCTGAATAGTACCAAAAGTGGCAATGTTATGGGTTAATGAATGTGGCCTGCCTCCCACAAAAACTATGTTGAGAGATTGCTATGAGGCCTATGGGTGCGTCTGTCAGAATGTGTGGAATGATCCAGGACTAATAGTGTGTTATACAGAAGAACCAAGACTGCACCTCCAACCCATTCACCATGAGCCACCCAGATTACCCCATGTACACAAAATATAAAAAATGCAAGCCCCACATACCAAGGTGGGTTGCTTATTGGGTTGGACCATTGTCTAAGATTGGAAAACTAGTCTTTTTGGACAACAGCCATACTGACTTAGGGCTCCAGACTGGGGAGGGCACCTGTATCTTTAATAGTTGTGTAGAAGATGGAATTAAACAGGTGTTGCTTCTCATGCAATCAGGTAACAAGCTAGTTGAAATTCCCTCTTGTACATAACAAAGGCACAGGAGCCCTCTGTAATCCCATACTGTCTGAACTAAGCCAGAAATTAACTTTCCAACTTTTGGCTCTTTGGAAGTCAGGAGAACATTGGAATGATCTTGAAATACATCTCGGGCAGCAGAAAGAGACCTAATTCTTACAAATTTCATGAGAGGTGATACATTTAAGTCTATACTCTACCATACTCATGTGTTGGGAGCAGACACATGATACCAAAAAGATCCTAGACATAAACTAATATGTCAAGAAAAAGTCCTAGGCTTGAACATCCTACCGTGAATTCTATGTACATAGAATATTTTTTGTATGGCACAGTATTAAACCAACTGAGTCCCCAGATTTAAGTTTGTACTTAAACAGGTTTGAAAACACTATCTGAAAGAATTAGGCCTCAGACATTCCAGTCTCTTTCCAATCCTTTCCGGGCAATCCTATTTTTAGTGAGCAATTGTTTTCTTGACACTTCTCCAAATATTAGCTTTTACATACATGACTATAGGGGTCAAGTAAACATATTTTTTCTGATACTTAAAATAAAAAGGCATCAAAATCTACACAAGAAGTTTAAATTAAACAGATTTTAAATCGGAAAGGCAGGACCCGTCTACAAGTTGAGGTCATCACGTTTGGTGTAAACATAGTTTGGACATTTGTAGAAACAGCGGGTTCTAATCTTGCTTGCCACCAATTTTGGTGTTTAAAACAATGCTAACATATCTCCTTTTACAGTATCTGTGGTTTAATTTGTATCATCGAATTGATCCCACCAGGAGCGATTTAAAAAACAAATGCACCATTTTAAAGTTTCGCATCAGGGGTAGAAGCGATCACTATGATTGTACTGGCAATTTCTAAAGTCAGGATCTTTCAGCAAAAAGGCAAGAAAAAAAAAGGTCCAGCAAAAAAGAAAAACAGGAAGGGAAAAATAGATCTATAATGGGAGGTGAACTTTTCTACTTTTATTGTAAGAGAAATCAGGCAGGTGCCTATAATATTACATTCTGGTGGTAGAAACCAAGCACAGAAAATATATGTATCTTTTATTTGATAGTCTCTTGAACTGATGAAGTCCAAAGAGACCTAGAAGAAGTTCTATTTCATCTGCCACGTCACCGCCCAACAAGATATAAAATAAATAATGTCCAAGGACTACAGAAGAAAATACTGCTCCCATCTAGTCATGTATATATACATACAGCATGCCTACATACATAAAATGGTGTGGCGCTGTCATTCACAAACAGGAAATACGGCAGTGCGCTATCAGAAACTTTTAAATATTCCGTGTGTGTGTGTGTGGTTTTTTTCTCTGATTTTGAGAAAAAGAAGGAAAAAAGGAAGAAAGAGGTGGAAAAAAAATCAAAACCCAGCATTCACAACTTATTTACTTTCAGTAGCAAACAGTTCATTTTGTTCGTGTCTCAGTGTGTGGCCCAGGAACTAGTGTTCCTCCGCAGAATTGCCACCGGTGAGGTACCCGTTTGTTCCGTTCGTTCCACTTGTCCCATTGGTAGTAGCAGAATTATGGGGATTCTTTGAATGAGGGACTGAGGTTTCTTCATCTGAACTAGACTCGACGTCGCTCCGGTCATCCCTTGCCTGCAAAGGGTGCAAGAAAAAGAGAAGGAAATGCACCGGTATCTCTGGCATGAGAGAAATGAGACAAAACAATTAGCTTATTTAAGCACTCCCTGTCCACCTTCTGATTGACAGAAAACCATTAAGTCACAAGTCTCTACTTTGAAGACTTCTCATCTCTTTTGGCTTGAATGCCTAACCAGAGATACTACACTGGAGACAGCTGCACCTGGCCTACTCAACACACAGGCTAACATTTTGTTTCTGATATATGCAGCTGAAATTCCACATTATGATGCCTTTCTGATCCCCCAGACTCTCCATCAGCCACGGACTAGCTGTTGGAAGAGTGTTACTGAAGTGATACCGTGTAACCCTTACATTAAGTGTGACTATGTAAGATCATGGTCATAAAGTGATTGATAAGTGCTTGGAAAATTACCTCCCCCTACATTATAAGGGACATTTATTTACAGTTAGCCCTCCATATTCACTGGGGTTAGAAGCTCAGGATCCCTGCAAAAGTGGAAAAATGTGAGTAAAAAACTCCACTATTTTTTAACATAAAATATTATCTCTACTATATGAATCATTGTGTTTTTCTGAGTGATTTCATGATCAACATCTGCAGAAATGTGTTTTCTATAGAAATCTCTAGGTACTCCAGCGCAATACAGATGTTGATCATAGTCACACTGGAGGAGCTAGAGATTCCTAGAGAGACCATATTAATCAAATCCACAAATAATCAAATCCACAAACAAAAGCCTGCAAATATGCAGGGCCAACTGTACCACTATATTTAGATCGCACTTTTCTCCTACCACAGAGATCCAAGGCAAATTACATCATAATTAAAACAGATACAATAATAACTATAGTAAGTTTCAGAGTTTCACAAATCATTAAGAGGACCTACATTAAAAGCAATTTAAAAAGTATAAAAGAAAAAAAGGCAGCATTTCCCACCCATTAAAACTCTTTCCCTTAATAGCCAGTCAGTTGATAAAAATATTCCAAAAAGAAAGAGGTTATTGCCTACTGGCAAAAGGTCAACAGAAAAGGAGGCATACTAGCTTCCCTTAGAAAAGTGTTCTAAGACTGAGGAGTAGCCATTGAGATGACCTTCTCTTATGCCCTCACTAAGCATGATTGTGGCTGGGCACATCCATCTATCTATCTCAGTGGTTCTCAACCTGCGGGAGGCAGCCCAGCCATGGGCCACAAGAACGAAAATCTGGTTCATGGAACCTTCTTCCTCTTTATTTATTTTATTTTATTTTATTTCCGCTCCTATCTGCAGAGCTGGCCAGCCTCGCCCCTTTTGGTACTAACGTTGGAGAGTAGTCCCTGGTCAAAGGTTCCCTGGTCAAAGTGGTCCCTGGTCAATGTTTGCCCTAGTCTAGTGGTCCTTGGTCAAAGTGGTCTCTGGTCAAGTGGGCCCTGGTCCAAAAAAGGTTGGGAACTACTGATCTATCTACTCAATTTCTACTCAAGGTGACATGGATAGCTCTCCTTTTCCCCAGTTTTATTGCCAAAATGGCCCCGTTTTCACACCAGTCTAATCCTGGTCTATCCCTGTCCTCCTTTATCTATCCCTGCCATTACAAACCTTCTGTTTTCTAGAAAGATTTAAAAGATAACGGCAATTTGGAAATTATCATTTGAGGAACTGTAGAAACACTGTCATGATGAGGCAGCATACGCTGCGTAGAAAGACATTCTGTGGCAATTAAGGTGGGAGAAAAAAGGTGAGTAATTAAGAAGAAGCAGCAGCAAAGAAACAAGAGAGAAAACTATTTTAACTGGCAAGGCAATGAGTAAATCAACAAGGCCCCGAAAGATGCCCCAAATACTTTGGAGCACTGACCATCTGCATCACTTTAAACAACAGCCACCAGTAAATTCATAAGGAAAAAGAAAAGAGAAAAAGAAAAGTAGCCTGTGACAATGCCAAAGAACGCTGAAGATAACTGAGATGTGGCTTGAACTATTTTGATGACTGGGCATTTGATATGGGATCCTAAGTTAGGTTTAGCTGGAGGCATCTTCCAGAACTACCCAAGGCCCAGTTGAGTAATTTAAGTTATGGATTTATTTATTAGTTGATTAAAATATGTATAGAGAGAGTTCAAACTGTTGAAAGCTTTTATATAACTGAGAAAGCTTTTCCATGACTTAAAGTCTCTGCTTCTTTTTACTCAAGGGAACATTCCTGTGACTACATGACTAAAGAGGCAAAACAGCTCCATAGATGCATAGTTTCAAATATTTTCTTCAACTGATTTTTCAGAACAGGTTCAACTTGTGAAAATTTAAACAGCTGTGGAGGATGCTACATCAGTTTTTGCATTTTCCCTGTTGAAATGTTTCATTTAGAGCCAAACTGGTATCAGAACACAGGATTTAAAACTGGTATTTTGATGCCTTGGGACCTGCTGACTAACCAAAAAACAAACAAAAAAACATGCAATCTTAAAGAAAGCATACATGCAGAATGACAGCTGCTGAAGAAACAAGGTGAAGATGCAAAGCAAAGCAAGACAGTAGGCTGGCAATTTACAGGCTTGTGTACAAGTGTGTGTGAGAGAGTATGTGTGCACACATGCGTATGTGTATTTTTGGACATGTTCGTTTTCTCTAAGGAGAAACTTACATGCAAGGGGTTCCATTTCCCAGCCTTCAAAGGCAGCAGAAAGAAGATAATTAAGAAGGATAAGATAAGTCACACATGATTTGATATGAAACAAGTAGCTTCCTACCAGGTGATGAGAACACAACTGCAGATCTGACACAACTGCTGTATTTCCCTTAAGTGTTGAAATACAAGATGATGAGGGATCAGGACCCATTGAAGTCACAACTTTTAGCCCTAAAACTAGATCTCTGAATTCTAGTTTTCTGGTACATGTTGTGGTAAATGCTTGGAACTGTTTTGCACATTGCAGTTTTAATGTATTTTGTACGTTGTTTTCAATGCAGCACATGGAAGCAAACACAGATATAATCACACAGGTACTTTCCCAATGGAACTGGGTAGGCAGCAGCCTCAAAACAAATGTATGCTTAACGGCAGATCTAGATCTTCTATCACATATTGCTTTCTGAGAAACAGAATCATAGGATTCACAGCAAACAGGTTTCAGGCATAAAGAAAGGGAAGGCTCAGGTTAGCTATATTGTAATTAAGGGGCATTTACTAAATATGTTAACTGCAAGTTTGTGGTAAGACTTTGCCATGAATCAGAAACATCAGAGATCTTAGGGGTGCTATTCTGACCAATTTGTATGAAAAAGAAAGTTCATCGGATGTGTAGGGTGGAAAGCAAGAAGACATAAATGTGAAAAAAATATTCCAACAATTCTTACCTTGCCTTTAGAAATAGCTTTATAAGCAGCCTTTACTATTAGGTAGGACCAAAAACAGTGAAGAACTTGAAGTATCAAAAGTAAAATGATAAAGATCGACAAGGCAGGAAACCCGCCGACAATTTCAGGAAGTTCAAACATTGTTGTGTTCAATATCCTAAAAGAAAAAAAAGAAGAGTCAATGCAGAATTAATGAAAGAGGCTGTATTTATCCATGCTGCTTCCTTACTCCGTCCCAATCCATTTAGTTGTGGAAGTATGGCAGCATGTAAACTTTGACGAGACGGAATGGATTTACGAAACTCCGAACGCTGAGCTCAGGATTAGTCTACTACTGTGTTACTGTATTTTTGTGTAGTGATGTTTTTAAATTTTTAATATGTAATTGTTTAATTTGCTTATATATGTATGTTTATGTGACAAAGGCATCGAATTGTGCCTTCCTCTGTAAGCCGCCCTGAGTCCCCCCCCCCGGGGGTGAGAAGGGCGGGGTAAAAGTGACGGAAATAAATAAATAAATAAACTGGTAACTCACAAAACCCCATTTACATTACCTTCTGTGGTCTTCAAGATGAATTAAAAAAATAACAGTATTTTAAAGCAATACAGCAGTTACATTCAAGTCTGTATGCTACTTTTCACCCATTTTCCTCACCCTTACACCTCTATTATATTGCACTTATAATTCATGCAATGCATGTTTGTCTTTTAAGGCATTCTTCCCCATGAGACTTCTAAGCAGACCCATTTCTGCTTGTTTATAAGAAGTATCTATAACTTCCTGGGTTGTCCTCCCACCAACCACTGGTGGTTTCATCAACGATGAAATTTAGCAGCTATCATAAAATTTGCTGCTATTGTTCTGTTGACTCTGATCCTGTCATAAAAACTTCAGCTATCCATAGTATAAGAGGGAGGAGAGTGACCTCCTGCACTATAGTGTCCTATGATCACATATATGAGAACATTTTATAGGTTTTTTGCTACCTTGAGATAGAAGGCAACAACATTCTTTGTTTTTCTTGCTGATTGTGGCCCATTCTCCATTCTTCATACACTGAGTAACCAATTTCTGGCGTTTGTCACGACTCTTGCCAGCATAGCAGGCGTTATGTTGGCAATTTCTTCCTGGATGTTGGTCTTCAAATCTTGTAAGGTCCTTGGACGGTTCACATAAACATGGGATTTTCATCCATAATTCAAATGTATTTGTTTAGAATTCTTACTTTAGTTTATAGCTCCATAGTTTATGGTTAGTTTTGATTTCCTTTCCTTGCCCATCATATGGCTGTTGATTCACATACATCAATAGAATTACTGTATACATCAGAGCTTTCCAAACATTTCATGTTGCTGACAACCTTTTAGACATGCATCCTTTTGCTACACAGTATTACAGTTTTACTAGCAAACCGGAGGTGAAACCAACCCCTTATAAGATATATGGGCACATACAACAACAACAACAACAACAACAACAATATTTATTACAGTCCCATCAGTAAACCCATCAGTAAAACCAACAGTCATTATAAATTCTCCCATCTCAGGAGAAGTCCATTGTACAGGGTGAGGCAGCATAACTTCCTTTTTTAAAATGCGCGCCATTCAGTCGGTTGAAGACGTAGCGGAGCGCTAGTGGTCTCGTTCGAGAGGCAGGAATATAAAGTTTTGTCCTGACACAGTTCAGTCGCCATCATGCGTTGGGACTGTGAGGAGTGTGCTTTTGCCATTGAGGCCTACTTCTCGAGCGGATTTGGACTGGCTGGCCCGCTCTCCAGATTTGGCCCCTTGTGATTTTTTTCCATGGAGTTTTTTGAAATCCTATGTTTATGTGAACCGTCCAAGGACCTTACAAGATTTGAAGACCAATATCCAGGAAGAAATTGCCAACATAACGCCTGCTATGCTGGCAAGAGTCGTGACAAACGCCAGAAATTGGTTACTCAGTGTATGAAGAATGGAGAATGGGGGACGTCACCTACCTAATTTGATCTTCAAAACAACATAAAACAAAACTTTAGATATGCGGCTACGTTATAAAAAAATAAATAAAAATTTCTGATCCACACAATGGGTTTCATTAAGTTTGAAAAAAGGAAGTTATGCTGCCTCACCCCGTACAAGATACATCTATATGGTTTCAAGTAATACACCTTTTGGAGGTTAGTTGCTTTCTGAGCCTTGTTGCCACTGCGAGGAATTTTGCCACTATGAGAGTCAGCCTGTGGCACTTGTCCTCTAAAAGATATCTAACAATCCTCTGCGGGGGATGGCTGGTCATGTGGGACAAGACTGGATAAAAAGTTGGCTATGTTGCACTGTGTAGTAGTGGCACTGCAATAAAATGTGTTCTATTGCTTCTATTTTGTTTCCTCCACAGGAGCATAGTCTTTGGGAGTAAGAAATTCCAGACAGTCTGCCTCTTAGCAGTTCTGAGGGAAATATGTTTAATCTTCCCTTTGTAAAAAATATGTGATATTTAGTCACTGTAAGGCATTTTAGGTATTTGCATGCCTTAAATGGCTCTCTGTATAGCAAATTTAGGACTCTGGGGCAGATGGTGAATTTGAGTGGGCTCTAAGCAATCCCAGGGCAATGTTGTGCAACCTTTGCTTCAGGGATTCCTATGCCATTTTGAGTCCCAAATGGAGCAAAAGGGGTGTGGATAGTCCAACTGAGGCTACTTTTTGTTCAGTCCTCCATGCCCAAAGGGGTTTGGAGGCTTCATAAGGGACACGGGCACATACATAAATTGTAGTAACAAAATGTAAGAGGACACCACACATCTCACGAAAATCTTTCACTCATATTTTTGAAACTATGGTATATGATTTATTGCTTATTTCACATAGAAGCTGAGGTTTCTCATTATGTTCATGTGACACACACACTGCAGCCAACACACAAACAATGTCACTACACAGTTTGGAAAGCTCTGATATACATTAATAGAACAAGAAACGGTTACACATACTTTCTGAAGCTGATTTTTTTGTTGATTTTTAGGCTTTCTGTCTTTCTCTTCAGGAAATAAGTGTATTGCATACTAAAAAGAGTACTCTAAGCCCATCTCTTTATCTACTACTTTGTTACCAATGAGTGAAAAAATTGTCAGTAATAAATATAACAATCCATGGTGACTGTAGGTACTTGCAATACTTATTTTTTGTGACTAAGATTTAATAGTAAGGCCACTCACATGCTTGATAAAAAGGATACAGAATCCTTTATGGATGAAAGCTCGCATGCAGAAGACCAAATATAGCCACCAGATGGCATATTTAGCTAGTGAACTTGAGTTGGCTACATTGTACTTGGCCTCTGGCAATTCATGAACTGGCACTCCCCGCCCCCCCCCCCCCCCAAAACAAAAGTATTCCTCGCCTAAGAAAACTCTGTAAAAGTTGGCAGGTGACTTGAAGGCAGACACACACTCACTGACTAATTTGGGAAGATCAATTACAGAATTTAGAAACGGCTCCCAGCCTAGTTTCTGGACATAAAAATGTGGCTGGAATTAAACTTCATGCAGGAAGAGTTTGCCAGGGTTTTTTTTTTTTTTTTTTGGGGGGGGGGGGGGACGGACTATGGTGCCCAGAATTCACCAGCCGACATGACTGGTAAAAATGAAACACGATGTTAAAGAGCCGCCGCAAACTACAGGAAATCGGGGGCGAGCTTGTGCTTGCTCTCGCTCCGAAGCCCCGCCTTTTCCCCCCCAAGGCTGCTCTCTCTCTTGCTAGCGTGCCTGTTTTCCCTTGCTAGGCCAGCGATGCGAGCGTACTCTCGCTGTTGAATTCTGTCAACAGCGAGAGTACGCTCGTATCGCTGGCCTAGCAAGGGAAAACAGGCATGCTAGCAAGAGAGAGAGCAGCCTCGGGGGGAAAAAGGCGGGGCTTCGAAGCGAGCGCAAGCTCACCCCCGCTTTCCTGTAGTTTGCGGCGGCTCTAAGAGAATGGGAAAATTGACTAGACATAGACTTCCTCTCTGGTGCTGTGCAAAAGAAACAGTCTTGGCAAAAGCAAACTGATGTTGGTGGACGTGCCAAACTTTCTCTTCATCACTGAGCAGTTATATCAAGATATATCTCTTTGGCGAGCTGACACTGCAAAATAATTTGACAGCAGCAGATCTTCTGCCAATTAAATCCATTTTGTCTGACAGCATGCATAAGGACTCCCAGCTGATGAAACATGAGGACGTTCAGCACATTTATCTCTTAGTCCTTTTGACTCACGAAGGAAAGTCACGGTTATTTACAAGGACATAGTGAAAGAGCCAACTGATCATCTCTGAATTGCACCAGGAAAATGAAACCAATGTCTGTTTTGACAGGGCACTGTGTGCTGTGGGGCCGGGGGGGGGGGGGGGGGGGCAGAGAAAAATAACATCTAAGCAAGCAACTTTTTGAAACACTCCTTCTTCCACTACATTGATAATAATAGAACATCAATAATACTGTTATGTAAGTCATGTTTAACTCTGCTGAACAAATGTGCAAGATACATTAACATGTGTTAATAAATGTCACCAACTGTACAGCATGGAAAACATGTTGCACCTCATTAATTTTGTATCTTATTAATTTTATCTGACACAATCAAAGCCAGATAACAAGTACTGATAATTCAACTTTTATGCTATGTTGTTCAATGCTTCTGCGGAAAAACTAGCTGGTCAGCTGAATGGATTCCCAACAGGCAAATAAGCCAGCTCCTGTTCAGACACTGTGTCCCTGTGAAACAGATTAGTCTTATGAAAACAATTCTCTAACAAAAAGACTGTCACCTCTCAGCAATACAATTTGTCCTTTAGAGGTAGGGAAGAAAACACTGGCCCTTCATATGCTCTTGGAAACCAAATAAAAGCATTCCTAGTCTACTGAAAATATCAGCTGGGGAGTTAAAATCAAAAACCTTTGGAGGAATAATAATTCTCCGTATCTGTTTAGAGGTGGTGAATTCTTCAATCAACTGATCAGTTAATAGCATGAAAACTACAGTCACCAGTTTCAAACGTGGGCTACTTCAAATATCACATTATAGATCTGTAATCAGTCATGAAGATTACATGACAGGAATCATGGCATCATAGAATAATAGAGTTGGAAGAGACCACATAGGCCATCCAGTCCAACTCCCTGCCAAGCAGGAAAAGGAGGCTGCTGCTGATCAGCTCCTTGACATACTCATACATGATCATTCACATATGACAGAGGCACACTTTTGTCTCAATCTTCTTCTTTTTAGCAAAAATGACATGAGGAAGATGGCAACGAACAATGGCAATATCTACGAGTATTCTGCACTCCATTAGGTTATAAATCTAAACTCTGGATCTCTTTGAGAAATGTCTCCCTTCTGCCTGTATTTTGCACAGGCAAATCCTGAATGCACCCTCACCACACACCACAACTGTAAAGAAGTGACACAAAATCCAAGCATCACAAATTTGTCCTATGGGCCTTCAGTTTACCTAAACTGTTCATCACAGGATGTGATGGCTACCACTTCTAAACTGAGATTGTATATAGCATGAGGTATATGCTTGTACTGGATGACAACAGGCTGATTTAAAAACCAGCAAAAACCATTAAAACAAAATATCTAAGAACACAGCACTGTGAATTTTATCAGGCAAATTGCATTACTTATAGGTTTTTACTTCTGAAACATATTAGGAAGAATCTCAAGAGAATGTAAATGCACAATTAGGCACGGACCTCAGGATCATGTCCACCCAGAACTGTTTATAGGAAGTGAAATCACTGTGGAAAGTGACACACCATGTAATCTGAGGTGACAAAATATCTGTTCTCCTGTCACTAGAGGGACATGGGAATAACACTGAAAATCTAGGAAATAGTGTTTCCATTCATACATGTTATTACACCAAAAGGCTTCACATTAACTCAAGAAGTACACTGGATAATGACGCTCTGGTTCCAAACCTGAGGACTCCTTACTATGTTTACTTTATCTGGACTATATTTCTAGTGCAAACTAGTAATTTCTAGATTATTTTAATGCTGGCAATTATTTTCTTCCCATGAGGGATGGGCACCAGTCCAGGGAGCATCTATTCGAGTAGCACTTGTCTAATGGATCTGGACACACACTAACAATCATTCTGTTTCCAATCAATTTCTTCTACCAGGCCACTTTAAGAAAGTTAATCTAGGATTCACCTTAAAACTGAAGTTATACAACCTTTGTCAAATTGATTTCCTAGTCTGAGAAGGCAACCACGGGTCTTGAGCATAGCACTGTGAACCTCAGAGTAAAACCTTTTATTCCATTTTAGTTCTAGCCACTCCATGAAATAAGTAAATCTACTCACCACAAAGGATATATTCCAAGCCTTGTGATGATGAAAACAACAGCAAACATGAGGAACAGGAAGTCACACAGTTTTTGAAACTTGCAGTAGTTTGCCATTTTTGCTGCCTGTAACAATGAACAAGTGTTAAAATCTTTATAAAACATTATTTGTTGTTTGGCTGTCTTTTACACAAAGTATATCAGGCAATTGATACTGAAATACAAATGACACAGCACTGTGATTCTTCCAAGAATCAATGGAGCAACTTATATAGCACGATGAACGAACTAGAACAGCTGTTCTCAACCTGTGGGTTGCGACCCCTTTGGGAGTCACAGGGGTCGCCTAAGACCACTTGGAAAACACACATTTCCAAAGGTCTTAGGAACCAAGACACCGCTAACTTTTTCCTGCCCCCTTTGCTTCCCAGAGGCCTCTTCTTCTCCAGAGGACGGTGGTGGTGTCACTTTGCCATCTTAGGAGGAAGAGACAGGAGTAACGGAGATGAGCTTTGCTTTGGTGCCAAGAGGGAAGAGGGAGGTGGAGGAAGAGGAAGAGGAGGAGGTGGAGGGGAGAAGGTGAGGGAGGGGGGCAGGGGGAGGGTTTAGAGAGGGGTGGACCCTCCATGGCCAAATCCCAGGGAGAAAGAGAAGTAACAATGAAAATACATCCTGCATATCAGATATTTATATTACAATTCATAATAGTAGCAAAACTACAGTTATGAAGTAGCAACACAAATAATTTTATGGTTGGGGGGTCACCACAACATGAAAAACTGTATTAAAGGGTTGAGGCATTAGGAAGGTTGGGAACCACTGCTCTAGAACTTCACAGCTTTTTGGACACTTCTACAACAACATACAATTTTGTTAAATTCTCAGCTATAATAATGATATAAAGTGCGAGTTTCAGATATTATCCTTAACATGTCCAAATCTAAATATGCTTATTAGAGATAAATTACTTCCAGGTATTATTATTTAGTTAGTGAACACCTGATTGCAGCTCAAATCTTTCAAGGACATAACCTTTAAAAGAAAAGCTTTCTTCTACCTTTGCAGGGCTTTTTCTTTCTTTAGCTTTCTAATCTACTTTGCCAATTTGCAGTTTCTACTTGTGCACTCCTCTCTGCCATTCCTTCTTGTGCACCATAAGATATGCTGAAGTCTTTCTTCAGACTATGCTTCAAGCATGTTATACCTAGGGCCTTTTCATACGACTTCATTATAGCAACTGGATAAATTTTAACTGCTGTCCCATTCTGTGGAATGTGGGGCTTGTAGTTTGATCAAACACTAGAGCTATCTGGCTGAGAACACCGTATAATGTCCCTTTCTCATTACAAACCCCAGCAGTCCACCGAATGGGACAATGGCAGATAAAATGGGGGGGGGGGTATTTTTGGAGCCACCACTTCAGACATCAATATCCCAAGTTTACAAACAAGAGGAATGACTCCAGAAGAAACCTGTCATTTTCCATAAACAGACACTGCAGCTTGCTTTGCATTGTGTTTCAGACTTGAAAATCAAAGAGCACCATGTGTCCACAGTCTGGGAATCCTGCTGATGACCAATAAAGTGTGGTAAAAAGCACAATAACATTTAAAACTGCTTATAAAGGTTTTTTATCAAACAAGGAGCTATGTTTAATACAAGTATTAAAAGTGGGAATAAAATACTAGAAACTAAGGCTGCAATTCTATGCATGCTTACGAGGGAGTAAATCCCATAAAATGGTGCAGGACGTACTTCTGAGTAAAATTGTCACGAATAAGATTGTGCTGAAAAGTAATATAAAATAATCAAAACATTATATTGAAAACTCACATATTAAAAGCATTATACAATCCTAAAATTTTAATTGTCTGAAATAAGAAGAGAAGGAACATGTCCAGATTCTAACAGGAAGGGCATATTATGCCATGTGCCTTCTATGTAAGACAAAGAGCTTCCTCTTAAGTCAATTGTACCAGACATATGCGAATGGGTAGCTTTTATGGAAATTTTGTCCAAACTCACAAAGTATCTTTAAACTAAAAGATCAGCACTTTGAACATCCTGCAAAACAGGCAATGGTGAAGACAGGATTGTATGAAGAAGCTCAAATTTTGGAGCTCCTGACACTAGTGTGCCTTTATTGCATTCTGAACCAATAGATGTATTTAAAGACAGCCTTACAGGAAGCACTGCAGACCACATTGGAAAAAACTATGTCTTGAATAGTAAGGCTAAAAAGAAAAGTGTTGGGCCAGGGACTGTACAGGCTTCATACCTGTTCCTTCTGAGGAGTCTAGCTGCACCCATGGATTCTTTATCCACGTATTCAACCATTCAAGGCTTGAAAATATTAAACTCCACCCCCCCCCCCTTAATTCTACTGTTTTCTATAAGAGATAACATTTTAAAATACCACTGTATATAGTGGGACTTGAGCATCCACAGATTTTGGTATCCACACAGTCCTGGAACCAAACCCCAATAACAATAATTATTTTTATACCCTGCCACCATCTCCCCAAAGGGGAGATTACAAGCGGGACCTTGCCCAGAATATACAACAAAATACACCAACTAAAAACACAATTAAAAACATAATAGCATAAAAATTTTAATAAAAATAATTTAAAACACAGCAGGATATAAAAACATAAAAGTATATCAAACCAAACTCAAGAACCAGTAACTAGGACAAGGGCATGATCAGACTAGAGAGGGCTGGCTGGGTAAAGACTTGTGCAAAAAGCAGACTATAGGGCCAGGGCGAGGGGTAAAGTGCTGAGAACAACAGATATGAAGGGGTCAATGCATGTAGGACCAATACAGCTCCATGCACAGTCATGCTAGCTGGGGTACTGTCGGACTAAATGACTAAAAGATACTATTTTCCAAACTAAATGGCTGTATTCCATAAACACGCATAACCTAAGTCCAGTGTGAAGCATTTATTTAAAAGTGACCTGTTCATAGGTCTTACTTCTAAGAAAGCAGTTGCAGAATTGCAACTCTGGGGATGAATTTCAATACAGTACTTGATAGAGCATTCAATTTCAGTACAGCCGACATGGAAGTGTATCCCTTTTCTTTAGAACAGTCTGTTTTGGGAAGATACTCTGAAGGCAAGTAAAGACTAATTATAGACAACACTCACCTCCAGCACGACATCCACTGCATCGTGAAGACAAAGAGTCAGGGTCCCCACCCGTGTGAAATTGACTGTGTAGGAGATGGTTAGCAAAATGACTGTTACAATGTGATGTGTAAACATGATGCCAAAGTCCTGTTGGAGACAGAAGAGAGCGGGAGGAGACAGGGAGAGAGGTAAGTATTTGGGTTTTCCAACATTTAGATTCAGATAAACAGTAAATGCGAGCTCTGCATAATTTCATCATGAAATAAACACTAAGTATACTGCAATTCATGTAGAAGTTTTGGAAGCGAATGATACAGGCTACTCTAGCTGGCTTAACTCCCCACTTTCAGCCAGCTAGCAAAGATAAAACATATATTTTCATCCTCTCCTCCTTGTGTATGTGTTTAGAAAGCAACAAGATAGTGAGCTAAGGATGATTTCTCATTATAAGTTGAACCAGGACTCAAGGAGAGCTGGATATGAATCTAAATGGGTGAAAGGGACTCTCAAGTCTGTCTTCCTATTCAATACTTACTGCATGCCTACATTTGTAACTTCAACTTATAACTGTTATAATTACCTCTGTAGCAGTAATTACAGTATAATTCCTGTGTACACAAGACTAGTATCTGTGGTTTCATGTATTAATGCCCAACAAAACATGACATCTCTGGGCATTTTCAAGGTACTCAAGAAGTTTTTCCATTTCTGTAAGATTCCATTTTAGTCACATTTTCACATATTTATGCAAGTCCAGGAACCCATGGATATATAGTATTCTTTTATTTGCAAACATTATATTAGGCAACATGGCCAGTAGGCATAAGGCACAATACTTTATTAAAGCAAAAGAGAGCTTGATGTGAGTCTCCTGAAATGATACAGGAAAGGTCTGCCATGTATTTCTACCTTTTACAAATTATTCGGAATACTCTATGAAAGGAGCAAGGCTATATAGTAGTACAGACATAGTCAAGTGTAAATCTATAGCAGGGCTTCTTAAACTTTTTCCACTTGTGACCTCACCTGAGAAATATTTATGTGACTCTGGGTATATAGATATATAAAATAATTATAAAATCAAACATTTGCTGATTATTAATCTGCATTTGCAAGGCTTGCTAAACTGGCTAATTTTAACTTTTTTTATGAAGTACAGCTGAAGCATTTTCTCCAGAGGTCACTGTAAACACTGCCCATTGTTGCCAACAGATTTGTGTAAAGCGTAAAACAGCCAACTAGGCCACTTTACTGTTGTCACTTTTTTCTTGACTCCAGTATTGAGCTGTGTGTCCCTTTTCAGGTTGGAACCCACAGTTTAAGAAGCAGTGACCTAGAACACCATGGGTTTTCGTCTGAGTAAAGTTAATCATTAAAAAGTATTTGGACACACCACTGCCTACAATGGAAGCGGCCTGCTTACCTAATACTGCTCTAGGAAATTAAGGATGCATGAATTAAGACTGCCACCTTTTAATTAAAAAATATAATTTAAAAATATAATTTTAAGTAATAAGAGGGGAAACACTCTGCTCTGCCAAACCACAGGTCACAAAGAGGTCAGAGCAATGGATTCTCATTATATTTGCAGTGCTTAGTATCTTGAAAATTTCTCCCACTGTGCATTAAGCAGGATTAGCACAGCAAAAAAAAAACCTGTTTTCCTCCAAGGGCAAGTGAATCACTCTGATTGTGCCTTCTTCGATCATGACATGGTCCTCAGTTAGAACCCTGAGCAGATTACTTTTGCAGAATACACACACATACACATGCACACATTGTGCAGGATGACTGGAAGTTATGGCAAAGGGCCCAGAAACTGCCAAAGATACACATGGCTCTATAATATTAGCAATGTAAATAAACCAATAAATCATTTCATTCAGGTAGCTATTCTCTACAATCCTTTAAATACTGACCTCAAAATAACATCACATTTTAAAAAGGCCATCTGTCACCCTACCAAAACTCAGAAGACAAATACATAAATTTGACTGATGTTAGAGTAATGATATTCCAGGACAAGCATAAGCTTCTTAGTGGCCCATTGCCTCTGCTTAGCTCTTTCCATGCTCTGCAAATGCATAGGGATGTGTAAAAACAAACAGAACAAATCACACACAAATGAAGACCTGAAAGTGTGTGTGTATCTCATAATACAACATGAAAATAAATTGTCCCCTTAAGCCAGACTATGAGCTGGTTCTTTTTTTTTTTTTTTAAGTTCATCAGTCAGGTTATTTCCCCCAAATGCTGAGTTGATAATATGCACTGGACTGCAAATATTCCTCATTAATCTTCAGCCAGGCAGAGATAATCTAGTGGAATGTATACCCCACCAATAACTGAAAGGGGCTTTTCGGGATCAGCAGTCAGTTGTAATGGAAGCTGTTTTTCTGCCAGGAATTTGCTATTAAATACCAGTGTAAGGACATCTTTGTTAGCCCTTCATTTTTACATGATGAATCATTCCCATTCTAGGATGACACTATTGCTAAACATAAATGCTCCCCATCCAGACAATGAGCGAAGCCATATTCACTAGCTCCAAAAGGCAGGATTTTTGAAGGATACCAGCAAATGCTTGGGACCCTCAAGGCCTTGTTCTTCTGTTCTCCTCCCATATAATTGACAAATGGACAGCCTCTGGATCGGGGCTCTTTCTTTATGTTGCTCTTCTATTTTCTTACCTTTAGAAGCGCGGGGGGGGGGGGGGGGGGAGACATTCATTTTTTCCTCTCCTGGAGGGAGAAGACTACTCATTCCCTAATAAACTCACAAAAAGAAACATACTGGAGCACTAGCAGCATACTCTGATTTCAATGTTCCAAAGAAGCCAATACTACAACAGAATAAATAGAAGTCCCTCCTCTTTATTGGAAAATGATATGGATTTATTCCAGGGTTTTTCCAACTTTTGCTGAAGTGACAACAGACTTTGGTGTTTTCATACTGCAAAATCATAGCACCAACATCCCATTTTAACTGGCATGGCAATGTCCAGTAGAATCCTGGGAATTGTTGTTTGGTCTGAGGCCCCAGAGGAGCTCCCTGGCAGAGGATTTTAAGTGTTCCACCCCCTAAACTGCCAATCCCATAATTCTGGAAAGAATCATGGCCATTAAAGTGGAATCACGATGCTATAATTGTGTAGCACTATTGTATAGGAATGCTGCCTGGAGAAGGCTAGGTGGACATTTGCTGCTAATTTCTATGCTCACAAATATTTAGAGATACATAAGATGTGGATGACTTGTTTATTAGTTAAGGCAGACAACTGTAAAGTTGCTTTGAACTGTGAAAAATAGGTTGTGCCTGGTTCAGGTTGGAAACATTACTTTTCCAGTTTGCAACATCCACTTACAATGCTAACCAGATGATTCTAGGAGTTGTGATCTAAAAATGACTTTTGTAGACTCTAATCTGGCTCTCAAATGTAGAGTCCATTCTTGTGTGAGGATTATTCCAGTAGGAAGAGAATGATCTCATCCCTTCCAATGCTACTGTTAGCCGGCCTGATCTTTTTTGTGTGTGCCAGGAGCAACTTGAGAAACTGCAAATCGCTTCTGGTGTAAGAGAACTGGCCATCTGCAAGGATGTTGCCCAGGGGATGCCCAGATGTTTTACCATCCTGTTGGAAGCTTCTTTCATATCCTCGCATGAAAAGCTGGAGCTGACAGATGGAAATTCACCCCGCTCCCCAGATTTGAACCTCCAACTTTTTTTTTTGGTCAGTGTCCTGACAGCACAAGGGTTTAGCCCATTGCGCCACCAGGGACTCCAGCTGGCTTCATGATGCAACAGAAAACACAGACTGCCACTTACAGTGTTTCTGTAACTACATACTTGAACCAGGTCCTAATACTGTCAAGTAATAATCGATGATCACTATCACAATCCAAGAGATATCTCCACAGATGTCTCAGAAACAATAATATTTGCGATGGGCATATTGCTTCAGTTATTTTTTTTTAATAAGTTAACTTTTAGTGTTAAGCCATATCACAAATGACTGCTTTCCGAGATGCTTTGTTGCAATCTGAATAAGAATGTGAGTACAGGTATTAACCAGAGGCCAATACTGCTACATGCAACTGAAATTAAAGCTAGTCTAGCAACGCCAGCAAATTTTGCACATTCTCTTGCTGCCTGAAAATGCAGTACGGTTAGTTCTCCACATTCACTGGGATAAGAGTCAAAGGACACCTCTGAAAGTGAAAAAAAATGAAATAAAAATGCTGTTCTTTCTAACTGACAGAACGCATCTCTATGAACCTCTAGTTTGTCCAGCATGAATTAATGGCCAACTTTCACCAGGCGTTGACCATAGAATATCACTGGAGGACCAGGAGATTTCAAGAGTTGTTCTCCCTAAAAATCTCTAGGTCCTTCATCATGACTCTGTGATCAATTTCTGGGTGAATATACAGTACTCATTCTTCGCTCTTATTCCAATATTAAATTTTATACTGTGTCACAATTGGATATAGAATATATTATTTCAACATAAAAATGTTCACCAGAAATTGCTTAACAGAGCTCTTACCTTTCTTTTGATGTCAATGAACTGAGAAAACATTACGGACCAATAGTATGACAGCTCAACTATATAGTAGTAATGAACCTCGGGCATCAGGGGCTGAAAAAAAATGATAAAGGCAAAGGAGATTAAAAGCAGAAAATGAAGTTACAGACAAATTAAGGAAGAACAAATGAACGTTAGTTTCCCTTTTACTTAGAATCATAGAATCACACAGTCAGACTCCATGGGCCATCTAGCTCATTTAGTCCATGCCATGCAGGAAAAGCACAATTAAACTACCCCTGATAGATGGCTGTTCAGCTTCTGTTTAAAAGCGTACAAGGAAGGAGCCTCCACCACACTAGGAGGCAGAGCATTCCACTGTTCAACAATTCTTACGGTCAGGTTGTTGTTTCTAATGTTCAGGTGGAATCTCCTTTCCTGCAATTTGAACCCATTGCAGGAACATCTCATAATTAGGATCTTGCTCATGGGATATCTGAATTAACCTCACTGTTTAATCCATAAAGCAAGTATGGCCTTGGATGAAAATGCTGTTTCCTAACTGAGCTACAGAAGACAACTTGTACTTGAATGTTTATGACTTACCCATCTATTCTGAATACATCTATTCTATGGTGTATACATTTGTATGCAGACCTTTTGGTTCTGGAGCAGTGTAAGAGGAACCCTAAGAGGTTTGGAGCCAATCCAGCCACAAGCCTATCTCCACATTTCTGTTGACAATTCCTGCTCCCACTGTGCTCTTCAGAATCATCTTCGTTTTATCTAAGAAAGCAACTCAACCAATCTAGCCATTTAATTCTTACAAAAATCCAAATATATTAGATTTTTTTGGCCTTTTTGTAGAAAAGCTTTATCCTTTATCATGCTTTCTGTCCTGTGATTCAAAAAGGGATTCACTATGCTATTAATTCATTATGCAATCAAGGCTAGCTTAGATGGACAGTTCGGTCACATTTTAAATGTTCATTCACATCTGGATATCTCACAGTTCCTCCTGACGACAGCAGTTCAGAAAACTTGCAAAAATGACACAGGTATCTTCTCAGGGAAGTGTTTTCTACCCCTGTCTTTTAATTCTGTTTTCTCCTCTTCAGGATTTTCATTATAATTACTAAAATATGAGCTTTGATGTCAAATTTATACTATCTAGGTGTTGAACATGCTGTACATGAACTGCTAAAAATAAACAGCCATCACTTCTGCACAGAGAATAATTTAATGTGGTTTTAATTATGCACAAACTCTTATCCTAATTAAAAAGATGCATTTGCCTTAGAACTGACAGTGGAATTGGATTTTATTTATTTATAATTTAGATAACCCACATTTAGTTATGAGTTGGCTGGGATGTGAATGAGGTTTGTATAGCAGATAAATTTTCATATAGCCCTTGATAACGTTTTATCTTTTATGTGTGTGTATGTGTGCTTTCAAGTTGCTTGTTGAATCATGGTGACCCCCTTAATTTCTTCGGATTTTTTTGAGCAAGAAATACGCAGAGGACATTCTCCCAGTTCCTTTTTCTGAAACATAGGCTAAAGCACATGGTATTTGTTGGTGGTTCCTTACCTTATTCAAGTACTACAGTACTACTACTACTACTAATAATAATACTAGTAGTAATACACTTTATTTATACTCTGCACTTCTCCCCTAGAGGATTGAGAGTGGATAATAGCATTTACAGTAGCCATAGGCAAGCATTCAATGCCTTACAGTCACATACAATCAGACACACAACACAGACAAGGCAAAGGCTTCTCCTTTTTTTCATTTCTGGTTTTCTGGAGGAGGTGCTCAGCTCTGACTCTCGGGGAGGAATTCTTCTCTATTTTTAAGCCAAGGAACCTGTGTTGTTACCTCCTGGTCATGTGACCAGCAAGACTGTTTGGAACGTCTTTTTGCCTTTTCCTGCTGAAGCAGTACCTATTTATCTACCCACATTTGCATATTTTGAACTGTTAGATTGACAGGAACTAGGGCTGACAGTGCGAGCTTACTCCGTCCCACGGATTCAAACTGCCGACCTTCAGGACAGCAGTTCAGCAGCACAAGGGTTTACCCATTGTGCCACTGTGGCCCCTAACCTCAACTGACCTGCTTAGCTTCTAGGAACAGACAGTTATATACAATATATATCTGAAAACTGCAGTATAAGAATACAGTTCTATTAATATATTCCTGAATAATGACATATCCAGGGTGGGCAGGCTGTACCCTAAAAGTGTAGAGTTAGGAAACAGCGAAATGATGCATTGTATTTTCATCTCAGGGCAGGAATTCTTCCACTCTCAGTTCTCACCTTGGCCTCCATACAACTCTTCATCCCTAATTTTTCTCAGGTTTCAACCAATAATCGACATTTGTTCACAAATGAGCAATGCTCAGACCCCATTATAGTACTTTCTTTGAAAGCTTTTAGTATTTATGCGACCTCAATTTTCCTTAGAACATACTGATACCTGTCTCTTGTTTCCCAGTGCTCTGTTTTGGTTCAAGCCCTATCAGAATTCACTATTCAAGTTCCCTAGTAGAGATACACCTATTGGTGTCACCAATTATGGTTTGTCAGCACAGGAGATTTTGACACTCCTGGCTTGCCACTTTAGCCCTAGGGCTTGGATGCAATGTTAAAGAACTCAAGTTCACCTTTCTTTTTCTGTGTCAAAAAGCCATTTTATAAAGAGATCTTCAACAAAGGCTGTACAATCTTATAAGGGCTTCTCTGTAGCAGAATCCTGCATGAGGAGCTCCCTCTGCAGGTTGGTCAGACACGTTATCCCTTTTAGGTTTTCAGGAGGCAGTGAAAACTTATATTTTGCTTGGCCTATGGATTTTAAATTCAGGGGTAGATGTTCTGGCTGTTTTCAAAGTAATTGTCTAGTTTTGGAGTTATTTCTTTTGATGTTTTCAAAGTGCTTTTATTGGTTATGCATCACCTCAAGGGCTGTGGTGGGTTAAGAGGTGTTAAATAAATACCTTAAAATAAATTCTACATTTACAAGTTATGAATGTCACCTTAGTAGGTGAGGAATTTCTCACTTCCACAATTTGTCTCTATCTCTACACCTCAAATATCCCCCCCCCCCCCAAATACATGCAGTGTGATAGGCTGCATGGAAGCAGTATTGGGAATGTGTATCAAAACAGGGAGTTTTTCCATCCTCCTACCTCACCAATGCCCAGATACTATGGTAGCTACAGCTCTTTCTGTGCTCCTGCAATTTTAGTTTCAACATTTTTTTGTCATTTACACACAACACAACAACAGCAATTCTTTGCTTTCATTTACCTGAGTTGGGTACCCAATCCAGCACTGCCTTGTGTTCCACAGCCATGGACTCTACAAACAAACAAGCAACGCAAGTTAAATCTTGGGAAATGCCCACTCTGATGAGATACTAAACATTATGGTTATCTTGAAGCCTTCGTTTTTTGTGCATGTGAAAACAGATTACATCCAATCATTTGTAGATTTAGATATCATGCCCATTCTGTAGAAACACAATATTCCTGTTGCCATCCTGACATGCTGTCAGCTAATATTTCTGAATTGCAAGAGGTCCCAAGTCATCAGTTCTTTTTGAGGCACAATTTAAGGTGTTGCTTTAAAATGTTTTGAAACCTGAATCATTTTTTAATGGTTAGCCAAATACATATAGTGAAGAACACTAGCACTTACTCCAAGGTGGGTTATGGCACACTGCAAAGAAAACACAAGGGAACAAAATCCATCACCCAACCTTTAAGAGAACTAATAGAAAAGATCCTTCTGATTATTTGCACAATACCTTTTCTACCTTCAAAATGTAAGGACACGAAGGATCATACAGTATTCTTGACTACTTGCACAAGCCTTCATTTTATTTATTCCCAAAATGTAAAAACACTGAATACCTCGAATCTTTGCAAAGTATGTACTGACATGAAGACTGATATTTACTTATGCCTCTGATACATACAAGCACCTGCAGTACTAACATGCCTAGCTGAAATGTATGAGTAGTTTTTTTGTAACAGTTTTTTTTGTAACAGCCACATTCAAGAAAATTCGGGTTATTCACATTATGATTTGTGAGCAAACAAGATTTGAAACCTTGGTTAAAAATTGTGGCCTAATCTTGGCTTCTTCTCACGACTTAAAAGATTAAACACAAGAAACCCTGGCTAATTTGAAATCAAAAGTGAAAACTTTCAGTCATCTCTGTCATGGAAACAGGAGGACAGAACAGAAGTACAAGAGCTGGAAGTTTTCTAAGGCTTCTAACAAGTAACCTTGCAAACTGCCATGAGTAAACAGGCAGTCCCGATGTAACATCAGACATACAAATGATTCATAGTTAAGGACGGGGGCGAGACAAGAGGAAGTGAGAGAAATCTACCTCTTAGAAGGGAAATTCGCCCCTGAAAGAGTTCTCATAGGGACAAGGTGTCTCAACTGAAGCTTTATCACCAATCCTTTTTTCCACAACAAGTCACATTTTTAAAAATCTAATTATTACAGGGGCAGAAAGTGAGGTGAAATCTTCTGAACAAGGTAACAGACAGCAAAGCAAATGCCACTGGGCTGTTAACCCTTTCCTATGATATCCAAAGCTTATAAGTTAAACCTGACTACACTTCGCTGTGGCTCAGTCTGATATGAAATGAATGAGATAATAAATAAAAGTATTGTTGCGAACATAGATTCACCAAGAAATCACATCATTCAATTCAACACCCTGACTTGCATTGCTGTGTCTATGTGGAATGAAAAGAAAGGAAAGAAAAAGAAAACAGGTTTTTTTTTTTACAGAAATCATTTTTATTGTAAAGCTAGTGGATTGACTACGTTTTTGGTTTCCCTGTTTTCTGCATAAACATAAGCTGAGCTTTCATTTCTTATACTGCTTAGGTGAAATGTCAGCTGTTCTGTGGTTGGTTGGTATTTCTTATACTGCTGAGGTGAAAGAAAAGCTGCACTCTGCTTGTCTGTTATTTCTTCTACTGCTGAGGTAAAATGAAAGCTGCTCTGTGATAGGTTATTATTTCTTTTACTGCTGAGGTTAAAGGGAGAGCTGCGTAGCGATTGTTTGCTCATGCTCAGTTTTCATTTCTTATACTGCTGTGGTAAACTGAAAGCTAGGCTGTGATTCGTTGCTTTGGGCATTACAAATTCCACTTTGTCTATTCCTGGACTGCTAGTTTTACTCTAAATACATGAGTGTATTCGAATGCTACACTGTGTCCAAATTTCAGTGCTCAGTTTACATTTCTTATACTGCTGAAGTAAAATGAAAGCTAGGCTGTGATTGGTTGCTTAGGCCATCACAGATTCCATTTTGTCTATTACCAGACTGCTAGTTTTACTCTAAATACACACATGTATTCAAATGCAACATTGTGTATAAATTTCATTTTACTATAAAAACACGCGCGCATTGCAGTGCAATGCTGTGTCGAAATGTCAAGTCAATTGACCGACTACTTTTTGAGTTTTGCGAGCACAAACATACACAGGCTGAGATTTTATATCTAAAGATATTTGTCTGGAGTTACAATTAAAAATGTACATGTTCTGACTTAAATTCAAATGAAAAACAAACCTACAGAACCTAACTTGTTCATAACTTTGGGACTGCCTATATTATTTGAAAGAAGGATAATCAAAACTAAACATAACATTCAAGATTTGTTTTAAAAATATTATATTTTATTCTTTTAAAGGAGGTTACTTTTTTTACACAAAATCAAAATTGGAATGACCTTCCACTCTTGTGTAATGTTCTTGCCTCCATCAGAATGCCCTGAAAATGTATGCCTTCCTTTGGCTTTCCCATTAACACATACTGTTTGACACTTCCTTATATGTTGAATGTGGTTTTGTAATTCATTGGTTCTTGGTGCTGTTGTAATCCCCTCCAGGAGCTGTACAAACATGAAGCTGTACAAAGATAATTCTAATAAATAATGTGTAACAGTTGATGGTCTTGTTCAGATACAATGGGAAGTCAAGGTGTAGTCAGACTCCAGCAGCAAAGTGCAGCCTATGGGTGGCATGTGATTCCACCCCCACCGCCGTTCTTTTCATAGCCCCAATGGGGTCAATTGTTTTCCACAAAAATGTGTTTGCTCCAAAATATTCCCCAGAAATCTTTTAGGGGCATGGAGAGCATTTCCACCACATTTGGATCCTCCCACTCAACACCCCAGGGATCAAAACAAGCCATCTCAAATTGCCGCCCCCTCATTCCCATTAGACATCCAGGCAAGCCCAAGAATGTCTCTTTAGGCTTTTGGGGGCAAATGATTTTTTTGTGTGTATGCGTATGTGAGAAGGTACAATGGAAGGTGTGCTCTCCAGGATCTCAGTGGGATAAAGGTTAATGGAGCCCCATCTCCAATTTAAGGAATGGAATCCTTCATGGAAGAAAAAAGCTGGCCCAGTTCCCAATGGCTCCCCACTGAATACTAGGAGACAAATGCTTCAGTGCTAATGTTAGTCCCAGCTTGAGTAGGGCCACTGAATCAATGATTTTGTAAGTAATGAGTCAACATGCTGAATGGCTCTACTCTATTTGAGACTATCAAGAGCATTCAGGCTAAAAGAGAAACAGTGTCAAAGCCGGAAAACAGGAAAGAGAAAGAAGCTCAGCCCTAAGTTTGTCCTTTCCACTCACACAAGTCACACTTAAATAGAGTTCTGGAATGAGGAGCTGTTTTCTACACAGATTCCAGCAACATAAAGGGCCACTGTCCACCCCATTAGTCAAAATGATTGACATTTCACTAATAAGATTTAGAATGCACAGAGTAATGGCTTCTTGTACAGAATATTAACACATTGAGAAAGAAGACCTTGTTTTCTTTAAGTGAAAGCTATACATGCACAATAATCCTGTGACAGCAAACTTGAAGCAACCTTGAGCAATTTATTCGATTATCTAATTTGCAGGAACTGTATCTTTGTAGGCATCTAAAGTATTCAGCTCAGTCAGGAATCAGGACTGCAGGCACTGTTGTTGAACAGCAAGCAAGCAGGCCATTGTGTAATGCAATTAATAAAGAAGAGATGATGTTGAAATTATGGAAGTCACCCACATTTCTTAATTTTTTCACTGTTGTTGCTTGACTCCCACTTATCAGGGGGTGGGGAATAAGTATTTGAAAACTAAACTTCTTTGTTGGGAAATGATTTATACCTTAATACAGGCGAAGTGTTGGGCATAAATCACCACCCTCAGGCTTCCTCTTGGGCTTCCAAAGTCCTACAGACCTTTTCTGACTTCTATTCCTGAAAAAACATTTGAATCCCTTAAGTGGCAAAATGTACCTCTAAGAGCTTCTAGGACTTACAATGTAGCTTCTAAACACAATTCTTCCTTCTGTTGGATTTATTTTACTTATTTATGCTGTGGAAGTGATCCTACTCTCTTCTTTTCGCCCAAAATAGCACAGGGGACAACAACTGCCCATTCTGAGCAGTCAACACATGTCTTGAGAGTAAAAGGGAACAGTATGCAAAAGTACAAAAGTCAGTAAAATGGTCTTAACCTTCAGAAATTGCCCATTCCCAATCTCACCTTTCAAATCCTTTTTCTATTACATACCCAAGTAGAAGGAAAATCTAAACAAAGAGTGGAATAATTGTTCTTGAGTTCCTGTCCTCAGCATCCAACAATAAGCACCAAAACAACATTGCCTTTCAGCCAATATTTGCAAATAGACTGCAGAAACATGGGCCACTCACTTCAAAATTGAACTATATCAATTATTAGCAAATCTTCGTCTTTTCTGTAGGTATTATCTGTTTCTTCAACCCATTCTTATTATCAGGTGTTAATCTGTCACTATTTCACCTCTTTTACAACAGACTGTGGGCATCTGGCACAAGATTGTTGCAAAGATACTATACTGATGGCATAGTTTGTGGTTAAGAAAAACAATGCATGTCATCAAGACTTTGGGGATAATTCATGAACATCAATTCTTTACCGCTCAAATTTGTTAAAGATTTCAAAAATGCTTGTCAAATGACTTATCTTAACTGTTAAATGTCAACTACATTGGAGTATTTTAATAGCAATTTATGTTTTCTCTGTGTCAATTCATTAAATGTTAATGCTTTACTTTTGAGTTATAATTATCCTCTCTCATTGTTACTGTCCACTTTAATAACCCCAAAATGCTAATGATTTAACACATTTAAAAGATAAAGGTTTCCCCTGACATTAAGTCTAGTCGTGTCTGACTCTAGGGGGTGGTGCTCCTCTCCATTTCTAAGCTGAAGAGATGGCGTTGTCCACAGACACCTCCTAGGTCATGTGGCCAGCATGACTGCATGGAGCGCCGTTACTTTCCCAC